ACGCCAGTTGCTCGACGCTGGCCTAGCCTTGACCGATGACGACCTCGCCGACGCGATGCCCCGCAACGACAACGGCACACTCTACTCGCGCGTAATGCGTCTCGAGATAAGCCACGACGACCCGTTGTTGAATCGACGTGTAGGAGTCGCTCGTCCTTCGCTACGGCCTTCGGCGGCATCCTGGTATTGTCCATGCCGTGCAAACGCTGTGGGACTTTGATGGCCCTCGCGACGACTTGGGCTGTCTTGTCAAGGCCGGGTATGTTGCGTTCTACGTACGTGTGGCCAAGTTGTTGGACCCAGCGTTTGATCTATCGTTGGCGACGACCACCGTCGAGGTAAGCGGCGGCACCGCTGGCATTGCGTTGGTCGCCGCGAGGATGACACCCCTGTAGGCAGAATGGGAAGTCGATCGAAAAGGCTGCGACGCGCTCAGCTATGCCTTGTTTTTTGACAGCATGTTTCAGCTCGCAGGTGCGATGCCGCCACGAATCGTCGTCGCCCATCGATCGATCTAGATCTGTGGGTCGAGAGCTTGGAACCGGCAGACTACGTTGCTTTTCTCGACAACATTGTCGCGTCCATCTTTGTCATGGACGGGGACGGGCGGCGGCGACTCCGAGATGCGACAGGTCGGTCCCGAACACGGGGTTTGAACTTGTGTCTCGAGCTGGCGGTGTAGACATCGAGTGCATCCAGCAGCCCGACGACTACTCGAGCGACGGTGACGACGAGGACGAGAGGCAGGCTCCAGGGACGCGCCAGATCCAATCCGACAAGTCGGCGGCGCTGCCGCCCACTCGCGACGTTGAGCTCGCGACGCAAGATCGAATACCTGCGCCGTTGACGACATTGACAGAGTCAAAGAAGCATCCATCATCCACAGCAAAACCCGCGGCAACTACGATCATGAAGCGCTCGGGAGCACGTGCGTCGGCTCCCACCTCGACCTTGTCGCGATCTCGGCCCACGCGAGTGAAACCCAGCGGTACGACTGCGTCGGACGCTCGGCCCGCCAAACCAGAGCACCCCCCCACTTCTCGCAATGGTTCCATGCCTCCACGTCTTCCAGCACCGCCCGACGCATCACCTCACGACCCAAACCAACCACTGTCTTCATTTACCAACCGTGCAAAAGACGAAGTTGTGGCGCCGGCGTGTCGTGGAGTTGGCGCCGACCATCACCACGACACCGTTGCGACGAATACACTCGTCCCCAACCAACCCAACCAGCCACACCATTCAAAAGTGGACGCATTTCACGCCGACAACCAAGCTGCGGGCTCACCCGACAAGCATGCCATCTCTGTTCGGCTCGTTCGGTTTGATTCAGCGAGAGACAAGGTCAAGCAGCGTCCAGCCGAGGATCACCATGTCGCGGCTCGGCGGGCCCGGAACGGCCATCCGAAATCGCCGCCGCAGGTGCTTCCATCGATCGAAAAGTCGTTGGAGACCATGCGGGCGGGCAGGAACAGCTTCCTTCAAAGCGCCTTGCCGCATGCGACTGCAGTCGCATCCGACCAACAACCATGCCACCATGACGTACTTGACGACATCGGTCCCTGGCAAAGCGAGCGCATCCCACAACCGTACGTTTATTTCTCATGTGACGCGCTGGCAAACGCGTTAACCATAGGGGCCGTGCCGTCGTCGACGAAACCAATCAAGCCAACACGATTCGCGTGCAAATTCAGCCCACCAGGCGCTCCAAGAACGAAGCGCTGCCTCCCCCGCCAGGTCTGCTCCCTGTAGACGACGGCAATTTTCCTAACAAGATGCGCGGGGGTACCGGCACTCTTGGTGCGCTTCACTCTTTACTATCTGCGGCGTAGGAGCCGTCGTCATCCAGTCCAAGGCAAGTCCCACGGAAGGCGACGCATCTGGCGACGGCTGCAACTCGACGGCATCCACCAGTCCGCCCAAAGCGTCGGCTATCGTCGTCGGCTTCAACTTGACCATACCTCGAACGGCGCAAGTGTCTCGTCTTCGCGGCACGGTGGCGCCCGTCGCTCGCAAGGGGTCGCCACCCGTTCGTGGCAGCCACTACCATCATGGCCAGCTTGACGACGGCGAGGAGTTTTCGCGCATCCCCTGCGTGTTGACGACTTCATTGGTGCGTGGAGATTCGCCGCCGTGTACGTGCAATGGCGCCTTAACCCGACTTGCTTCGACGCACTCGCTGCCATGTTTCCGCGTGAGTTGGCTCGACATCGCCGACATATTCTACCCCAACAGGTGACGCGCTCTGTCCGTAGGGCTATTCGCCGGCACCCTGTGGTGTCCACAGGGCGCATGGCACCCAAAGTGTGCCCCAACTAGCCCACGGACCGGACGCCGCCGCGTTCCTGACCATCAATCGGCGGGAATGTACCCTCGAGCGCGGCCAGTCGAGTGAAAAGCACGTGCCAAACCGAATTGGAATGCTCAAGCGCAAACAAAAGATCCACCACACCCAAAACGTTTCTGCGCGGCTCATGGACAACACGATCGTATGGGACGACTGACCCAGCGTGAAAGAACCTGCTTTCGTTTGAACCTTGCAATTAGTCCTGCGCCACATACGCTTCGACCAGGGCATGCTCTGCAATGCGGGGAATGCTCTCTACGTGTGCCACGCCGCATGAGCATATCTTGGGGCGGTCGTACATACTGGTGTACTCGATCGTGTCGGCGCCGCCAAAGATGTCGGCGGTCAGCGCCAACACATCCTTCTTCGTCATGGTCGGGTCTCCAAAAAACGAAGCAACGGTCGTCACGGTTGTGACAAGGAAGCGAAATCCTTGGGCGTCGACTTCGCTGCGTCAATGCATGAGCCATCGTCCCATGCCCGCGGGAACAGCCTTACCCCGTGCTGTCTTCGTCTAGCATTTCAAACGCCACTACACCGGGACGCGTTGTTGGATCGAGTCGACGGCGGAATCGAGAGGGGCCTTACGTGCGAGTTTTGACGTCAAGTTGCCTTTTTTCATGACGACGAGTCAGCAAACACCTTGCACGCTCGAAGTACCTTTGACAAGCGGCGCGACCCCCACGAGGAACTCTCGGCTGTTGATCACGTCGTCGCCCGTCTTGTCGAGCATGGTGAACAAGCGGTCGAGAATTGCGCGGTCCGATGCCTGCGTAAACGCCGTGCGTCACAACGGCGTGTGCGTCGTTCCTTACATAAAAGTTGGCGCGGTCCACTGCCGCGTTAAAATCCTCCCGCGACAAGTTTGGCTCGACGCGCTCCTTGGTTGTCGACGACGATGTAGATGGTGCCGCTGCTGCTCGTCGAAACACTTTTTTCACTTCGGTCGTCGGCTTGGCCGCTGCCTCAAACGCTGTTCGGAGGTCGAGGAGATCGTCCCGATCAACTACGCTCACAGCACTTGATGAGGACAAGGCAGCCGCAAGTCGACCCAACACTGAGTGATGTGGGACACTGCTGCGATCGCCAGACGGTTCGCTTGCTTGGACAAGTCGTGGCCCATGGCGCCGGCGGGACCTCTAGGAATGCAACCGCCCGAGTGAAACCGACTACGTGGAAAGAGCCACCAGTATATTTTTTCAGTCGTTTTCGTAATTTTGAAATGTTTGTGAATTATTCAGTAGTGTATAGTACTCCGGAGTAAATTTGACTCAAATTGGTACTACACATCGTCGGAATAGATCTTCAGCGATATGACAATGCGCATCCGAGCATGCAGGATGCCAACAGCATGAAAGCCGCTCGACCAATCTTATGTTCTAGTCGCGTATCTACTACGTTTTGTTTGTGGGATCGCGAGGACGACTTTATATTGATTGTAGTCATGTACCTACAGTATTTCAGCAACTTGCAAACCATATCCAGTCAATGTTCGCTGCAGCTTGCAACCTACGGCAGGAGAGAAGTATTCGCTGACGCCGTGCGCGTCGTCCTCATCGATATGGTGCATTTGGCAGCCTTGGACCGTGTGTGGGTATGTGGAGCCGACGTGTTCCGTTTTGATTCCTGGCACCACGTCGTCTAGGCAGTAGTAGCGTCCTCCTGGTTAAATATACATATAAATATTTCGAACCAGTAAAATATACTTCGTAGTTTAACTTAAAACGTCATGGTCAAACATGTAGGAGGAAGGGTTTTACTCGAACCACTCTGCAGCAGCATTTTCATAGCAGAGTTGGATGGGGGTGCCGTCGATGGTGTGGCGGTGGAGACTCGGGTGCGCCAGGATGGACACCGAGGACGTAGAACCTGCCCAGTAAGGGGAGCATCTGGCCAAACTTGTGCTTGTGGCAACGATAGCGCAGGCATTCGTCATGGCTTCGGCACACGCTCAGACACGGCAATCACGCCCGAATCACGCAAGTACCTCGGCGAGCGCCACCGTAGCTCAACCTGTCAGTGGTTGGCGGGTCACCGGATGTGTGGAAGAGAACGGGTAGTGCGTGTGGGGGGGTCAGTACCGTCACAATGAGGTGTCGCCGAGTCCCGGTTCGCTCGAGCTACGCACGGCACGTTGCCAACGACCCAGCTCTTTAAAGCGAGGAACGGGAACGAAAGCAAAGTCACAAGAGGTTCTCGGACCAGTGTGCGTGGGATGTGTGTGGACTCGGCGACTCAAAGACGATAAGCATCTCAATGTTCTCCTTTCATTGTAATGCAAGCAAGTGGTTACCTACGTGAGCCAACGACATGGATGCTTTAGTGCTTTTGGGCAGCCTTGGTTTCGCGCAAGTTGCGCTCTTCAATGATGCTGAGCTTGACACCCTTGCCGCGGGGAAGCGACACCCACGGGCGGTTTTCCTTGCCGATCACAAACACATTGCCGACACGGGTGGCGAAGTCAGCTCCAGTCGAGTCCTTGATGTGGGCAATGTTAAACGAACCGGCATGTCTAGTCAAGCACAGCGAGATGAGGACAGATGATCAATGACAGAGGAATGGATGGACGGGAGCGGCCGTGGGAAACGAGCCATAAACAACGACGTCAAGACCGTCACACCCAGCTCGCAATGAGTCTTAGGGTGTGTCCATACCGTTCGAGGTGGTGGAAAGTGCCGACGCGACCGGCGTTGCGACCACGGGTGATCATGACCAAGTTGCCGGTTTCGAACTTGATGAAATCGACCACCTTGCCCGTTTCCAAGTCGATCTTGACCGTGTCGTTGACCTTGATCAACGGGTCCGGGTAGCGGATCGTGCGGCCGTCGTTCGTGGCGATGTAAGGAATTTGCTTGGACGTCAATTCTTGGCGGATGACCTTGGCAAGCTTGTACTTCTTCTCTTCATCGTTCACACGGTGAATCACAAAGCGGCCCTTCGTGTCGTACAACAAGCGGAACGCGTCACCCGACTTTTGGATTTCGACAACGTCCATGAAACCAGCAGGGTAGTTGGGGTCGACGCGAACCTTGCCGTCGACCTTGACGAGCTTTTGCATGGCAATCATGGTCACTTCTTGCTTGGTCAACGCATACTTGAGGCGGTTGCGAAGGATAATGATCAAGGGAAGGCATTCACGCAACTTGTGGGGACCCGACGAAGGGCGAGGAGCCCAGATACCGTCGAGCTTGCCAAGCATCCAGTGCTTGGGGGCGCTCATGCGCTTCAAGTGATGGCGAGGTCCGCGGGGCATGGTAGTGGCCAAAGATCAAAAGGAGAACTAGCGCCATCCGAGAAACCCGTCAAATTGGCCGCCACCAGTGAATTGCCGTCCGGATAAATTGAATTATCCGGATCGACGACCAGCCACCGGATTGGCTGGCAGATTTGTCTGTAAAATTCTATATCGAATATGGCAAGTAATTGCCTCTCTGTCAAGAATAATCAACGTAAAAAGAAACAGTAAATCGTGTGAAGTGCGGACGCTGGCCGCTCTCGCAGCGCTCTCAACGTGGTGAACCACTCGCAACTCCTCTACGTGTTGCACGCAGAAAATGGGCTGTGAAGTACCCCTTGTGAAAGAAGAGCCTTCAAGGCCATGTCATCGATGAATGTGTGAACGTGCTTACAGTTAACATGGATGGGCGCGTTCTCGTACCCCCACTCCCAAAAGGCAATATGATTGGATAAAATGTGAAGTTTTTTCACCAATCGGATGGAATTGATCTGGGATGGTGGAAGGAATTCGCTGCTTCCACTCACGGAATTCACGACGATGCTGGCGCAAGTGACGAAGCGCGCGGTGTCCCGCACCTCGGTGAAGACGATCTTGCCCCGATGCTTGCCACACCTTCAAGCAGACACGCAGCAACGACGCTCATTGCATGCGACTCGTCGTCAAGAGAATGCAATTGTCGTTGGGAGCCTTGGAGTTGCAGCTGCCGCTCTCGGGGGCAAGTACCTTCTCGAAGCGTACGAAGGCTACAAAGCGAACAAGGCGGCGTCTGGCACCGACAAGTCGTCTGCGTCCTCTAGCATGTTCAACATGTCGTACCGCAACTTTTACGACGGGCCGTTTGAAGAAAAAATGACGCGGCGAGAAGCGGCATTGATTCTGGGCGTCCGTGAAAGCGCAAGCGCCGACCGCATTCGCAATGCCCATCGCAAGCTCCTCATCGCAAACCACCCTGATACTGGCGGGTCCACGTTCATCAGTACAAAGATTAACGAAGCGAAGGAGCTTCTCCTTGGTGGCAAATAGTCACATCGCTGCATTCTTTTTGTTCAACACGTCTGGCCGTCCTCACCCTTGCTTCACATGCCATCGCTAGTTAGAGCGTCAGCCCGAGCTTGAACGCAGCCGCAGCCTTCAGCGCCACCACATTGTCAGGCTCGACATCGTACGTGGCGGCCAACATAACAACAATATTCCGAAACGCTTTTTCAAATTCCCCTTGCAGCGGCGCCAACAGCAGGGCGTCCGCGTCGTCGATCGTGTGCGAGTTGCTGCTGCCACTTGCGCCGATGACGGTACTGGCATTGGTCGCGGTGGTCGGTAGCATTCCGCCCATCGACGGTGTTGGCCGGTGGTTTGTCCGTCGAAAAAGGTCACGGCTGATTGCGAGCACAGCGAGCGCGACATGAAGAAACTGGAGGAGCGCCGCGCGAAGCTCTGTCTGCTTTTCAGTCTGCGCAGTCGGTGTCATCGGATTCGCATCTTTGTCCACACACACGACGCCCTTGGCGAGGAACAATTGAATCACTTCGGGCGCGCCGCCATTGACTTCGGTGTTGATGCTGCCTTTCAACAGATGCGTGATCGCCTTGATATCGTGGGGGAGGCCCTTTTCGTCGCGGTGAACAATCTTGAGCAGCGAGACCGTCCGCTTGGCGATGTCGTCGGTGGCCGTGTCGATCGGGCACCGAATCATTTCCTCCTTTGCAACAACGACTTGCCGAAGCGACAGGTATGGAAAGTCATGGCGCACGTGCAGCACCACCTTGCGCACGAACTGGTGCTTGGCGACAGAAAACGGACTGCTCCACCTGCGACCGCACACGTTTTAGCCAACTAAACAAACACGTCACACGTGCGAAGAGTCCTCCCGCAACATCCACAACGGAGAAAGCCATGCATCGTACATGAAGGTGCGGCCGCACTCGCCGGCAAACATTGGTTCCACTGGCGTAGCTTTGATGTATACGGTCGTGGCATCGTCGACCGAGCCACCATCGGCGGCGACCTTGGCGAGGCTCATGGGCTTCACCTTCAATTGTGGAAAGCACGCATTCAAGCCGGACTCGATGGACGCCATCATTTCAGATACGTGGCAGAAGGCCGATCGTTTGTAGATAAACTCGACGCCCAAGTCCGGGACATTTTCTGCCGTCCCGACGATTGCCACCAAAAAGTACCGCGACACGGGCGGCATGTCCTTGTCTTGCTTGGCACCGCCTTGTTGAGCGAGCACACCAGCCACGACAGAATCCATGAGCTTCAGCGTCGCGGCGTACTCGGTGAAGTTTTGCAACTTGAGGCACACTGCTAACATATCTTGGGCGATCGACAGCGCCATTTCTGGCAGCAACCATGGCGTGGACGTCGTTTGGGGCGACAAGTACGTGAGCGCGAATTTGAATTGCGACAGAATGAAGTCATCGGGACTGCCGCAGCGGCGGCCCCCGCCCGTCCCTCGAGCGGAGGCCATGTCCACAAGATGCAGCTTGCACTTGGCAGCCTCGGCAAACTGGCCGCACGTAATATGCACCCGAGCCAACGCGTCGATGAACTTGACATGAACGTCAAAGAGACCATCGTCCTCCGGTGGTATCGCCACCGCTACCGCCACCAACGCGTCCGTCAGCGACTCCACTTGTCCCGTGGTGACCTCGTCGTTGGTCGGCCACGACGTCCCGAGTGTTGTCATGGCCGATTCGTATTGCTGCCACGTCGTAACAAGTCGTCGCAGCGACGCGACGAGTGCTGTGAGCCGCGGACGGAACGGCGGCACCCCTGGAAACGTATCCATGGCATCCAGTAAATTTGGCAGCAGCGGCAGGTGGAGTTGCTTGGCCACCACTCGGACGAGGGCATGCTCCATTCGCAAAAAGTTGCCGCGTTGGCTAAAACTCGTGGCCAAGAGGTCACACACGAATGTCGCGGCCAGTGGGGCAGTTGGCGCTCCACTGGCGGCAAGAACGACGAGTTGTTCGCACCAGGCATCGTCCGTCATGAAGAGGACGTTCGAGTGGGCAAACAGCGGCGTTTGGAACCGTCCGAGGAACGCTGTGAGGTGGGCCAGGACACACGACACAACGTCAGCGTCAAAGTGACCGTGACCGATGCGGGTTAATAACAAGTACCACAAATCCACGACTGTTGCAAGGAACGCCTGGTTCGCGCCAAGGCTCCGACTGAATTCGTGAATGAGCGTTTGAATTGCCGTGACGAGAGTACGGGCGACTGCGGTCGCCAAACGCTTGGCGTGGCTTTCCATGTCAATTTCGGCTTTGTCCGACGAGGCGGCGCCGTTTTCGTCGTCGGGCTTGGTGTCCATGCTGTTCTTGCGTTGGGCCATGTAGTGCTTGCCCCAATTTCGGGGCAATGACCGATGGTGCGCCGACCCAGGACCTCCCGGAGATTGAGTACCGGTGCCGCTCGCTGTGCCATTGTTGCCCACTATGCAGATGCCTCCACCACCGTTGCGAGGACTCAACGTATTCGCCTCGTCCGTGAGCTGACTACGTCGGTTATTGCGCTGCTTCATGTATACTTCAATGTCGAGAAGGGAGAGTTGGGGCGGCTTGGTCTGGTCGGTACAGTCAGGCGACAACACTTGTTGCCACGGTAAGCCGTCGCCGAGAAACGTGTCCATGACAAAGCGCAGCGTCTGGATCGCCCGCAGGACATGGGCGCGCAGTTTCTCGTTCTGCCAATCCGACATGTCGTCTCTGTGGCGATGTCTCTGCGCCGACTCTCAACGTGAAATTTCGTCTCCCAAGTATTTGTAGCCTACCTCGTACGTTGTGGACGGCAGCAGCGCCTTGGGCTTCCAGAACCTACCGCCCATCCAAACACGGTCAAACACGAGAGACCAAGCGTTGCCATGGCATTCATCGCGGCAACCACACACAACACGATTCTACAACTCAGGCAATGTGTACCCTTTCAATTGTTTCTCCGGGACATGCTGCAACGTCGCAACAATGCACAGCAAAAGGTCGCGCTTGAGACCGTCGAGACTCGATGACGTTGGCAAGTCGTCGCCATCGAGCTGATGGACGAGCGTGAGCATGTTGGGGACCCCAGGTAGCAGCATCATGGCGACCCGTTCTTTTTGACTCGACTTGGCACCACTCATTTGCACGACCAAGAGCCGTCGTAAAATCGCCATCGCTTGGGATTTGATTTTTTCTTCCGACTGGTCCGTTGCTACCTGGAGCAGCGCTGCCACCAGGAGCTGGGCAAGCCAGGCATCCTCGAGTCCCTCATCAGTACGAGCCGTGGCTGCTGCTACGACATCCGCAGGAGACGCATGCACCGTGTGGCGATGGTCGTCCTTGGTTCGTATCTGATCCACCTTGGCGACGGTTGTGTTGATCGCGACAAACGCGTCGGCGTCGGCGAGAATGCGCAGGAATGGAAACGTCATGTGAATCATGACGGCGGAATCTTTGGTCGACGCGAGTCGAGGGACAGCGCGCTGGATCCACTGCGCAGCGACTGGACTCTTGACAATCCAAAACAGCGCGAGCGAAAAACGACCAAGGCTTTGTAGCATATCCTTCCGCGCGATAAACCCGTCATCGGTGAGGAGGGAAGCATCCAAGAGCACGTCTAGGAGGCCCGCCACCACATGCACATCTGGCATTGGCAGTGGGAGGACGTGGTGGTGGCTCGATGACGTTGACACAAGCGACAGCGCGATGCTCTTCAAGACAAGATGAAGCAGCGTGTTAGAGTGGGCCATGGCCAATCGACGGGGCTCGCTCGCACTAGCGGAATGAATCGTGTTCCCTCGCCCGTTGGGAGGTGGCATTGGACTCGGTTCAGTCACAAGGGCGATCCATTCATCAATGACAGACTCGTACACTTTGAGCGGACGACTGTCGTCTGGAGCACCATTGCTTTGGGGGGGTGGGGACGCTGCAGCGGGCTCGTCAAAGATAGCGTCAATGTACTGCAGCACAATCGAGCCACCTCCGTCATGAGGCTTGCGACCAGTGTTTCCTGCCGCGGCAGTAGCTGTCACAGTCGTCGACATGCAGCACTTGTCAAACAGCGCCAAGCACGTGGCAAACGCAGCCGCGCGAATGGGGCGATGTGGATGGCAGAGGTAATCGAGGAGCTGTCGAAAGAGGCGAAGGGCATGGTGGCGTACGCCGATGCTAGGTGCTGCCTTCAGCGACACGATGCGCGCCACAATTTCATCATGAGATGTTTCGACTTGAGCCCACAATTGGAAAAAGGACTGGATGGCGCTGTCTTGGCTGTACACAGAGGACAGCAGCCGCGATCGGACTTGAAACAGCGGTGCCCCCGCGCCACTTGCAGCACCGCTGGTGTTGCTCGTGAGAGTAGATACCACACCGTTTCCGCCGCCACCGTCCGTCACGACAAGGGTGTGCACTACGTCAGCGATGACTGCTCCATGTTGTTTATCGACAATCGGAAGCACCGCGCGCCCAATTATATCCGTGGGGAGTTTGCCTGCCGCCACTTTTTTGCAATGCACTTGGTAAAACGTAAACACAACGTGGTAGGAAGGATCGAGAGTCAAGGGGAGCAGAATCTTGATCTCGTCCTCAAACGAAGGCGCCTTTTGGTGGTACGACACATGGCAGTACACGTCCGTGGCGAGGGCCAGCGATGTCGACGATGCAAAGCATGCGAGCTCCATTGATTCGTGGAACATCTGAACTTTTACCGCGACATTGCGATGCTACATAGTTTCCCCACGTTAGCTGACACTTTCGAAAGATGAAAATACAAGTCTCTCCCGCACACAAACAAACGTGCCGGGTGGGCTGCTAGACATCCGAAGGATCGTGTAGAAATGTAGACGATAGAGCACAGGATAGTGAATCCAATCTCGGACACGCTTTGGAATGCAAACGGCACTCCACAAGTGCTTCAGCTGTACCTGGAAGCGGTCCACGGCATGGGGATACAAGTAGAGCGCGTGCACGTATGATACAGCGACGGGTCCGCTACCACACGGCCCCCACGTCGTTGCGGTTTGCGGTGGGCAGAACGGCTGCACCTCACGGCACCAGTGCAGCGTGTTTGGCAATTGGTTGGCCGCCGAAGCACTGCCTGTAGATGCCCCCGAGGACGTGTGAAACATGGGGTCGACCAAGTACAGCAGTGCAGTCGCTGTCGGTGAGACCTTCATCTCGAGCGTCCGCTTCTTCGCGTTGCGAACAGTCACGTCGTCGACTTTTTCGACGTCCAATTCGCAAATGCACGGCACAGTCTTTTCCCTGCATCGAGCCCCCATGAGAACGGCCCAACGAGGATGTCACCGAGGTGAAAGCACTAGAACGAATTCAAACAGAATCCATGCACAAGACGTACTTTAGAGCCCCTTTCGACGCATCCACGATCATCGCAAGACGCGCCTCGTCGCTGAGACTCGCCTTTTGACGGTACAAAATCATTTGGCGAATTCCTTCCGAGAGCGTGACAGCACCCCACGCGAGAGGCTGTTGGATCGACCCGCCAAGTCGCGCCGTGCACTCGGTAGCTTTGTCGGCAAGCTTTGCTTGTTCTGACTCGGACATGAACTTTTCAGGCTGGCAATAATGCAGCGACGAAATTTCAGCATCACCCTGAAGGACCTTCGACGTCTGCACAGAACAGAAGAAGCGTGGGTAGAGGAATCACTACTCGGAGTCGAGATGGAGCAGAAAAGTACCTGCAACACCAAGTACAAACTTTGTGCATAATGCGTGGGGAGGACATAGAAGAGGGCGCTCTTGAAGAACCGCGCGTCCTGCAGAAGGATGAGCGTGACTGTGGCGAGATGGAGCGACTAACCTTTGCGGTGGACAGCGACGGATTCACCTGAAACACAAACTCTTCACTTGCACGCCCACCAGTGTTTACGTCGTAGAGAGCAAGGCGACACGTCACGGGTTCGATCTACCGCAATGGGTAAGTTAGAATCTCATGAAAGAGGACATCCGACGAGTGTGTACCGCGCCAATGTTAAACACAACTTTGCACGATACTTTGAACGCGATGGACCCTTCGACAGCCGTAACATCACGGAAACAATTGGGTGCGCGCAGTTCGTGCGGGAATAAGGGGGCCACTGGTGCAGGATTCGGCTCGTAATGGTGCAGGATGTTGTCATGCGGCTCGTCCCGTTTTTGTCGAAATTGTGGATCATCCTTGCTCCTGGGCGAGTCGTCAACTTCAGGACATGTCTCAGCATCTTCGGTCGGTGTCTTCTTAGTCGCTCGGAACGAACGCCATGGTCGAACGAACTCGTGCAGCGTCAACTCGGTCTGGCGTCGATTTTCGTTGCCAGATGACGGTTTCTCCGTCGGGGGTGGTAGGACTGGCGATCGTCTCCACACCTTGCGGGGTATCAACCCGATCTCCAACGTCCCTTCCTCGATCGCAAACTCCACGGCAATTGCTGCGCCGCTGCCGTCGTCGACCTTCATGCACGCAAATCCAGTGTCGCCCCGTCGTCGAAACTCTTGTTGTGCCCTCGAAAGATCGGAGTTCAGTTGTTGCAATTTGATTGGGCCATCATCACTTGGCTCACCTACATTCTTTGGGAATCCGGATAGAGTTTTAAACATCCGGACGGCGAACGGGGAATTGCGCGCCAATTTCAAATTTGCCGACGACTGCGCGGATGGTGCAAGATGACATCGGTAAGAGCACGTCCTGACGCATGCTGTGCTAAAGTGATTTAAATATGGGCTATCACATAACCCCCCCATCACGGCATGGACAACGAGTGAGATAAAGAATAGACCAGGGCATCGTTCTCAGCCGCATGCATCGAGTTCCTAGCGATCTCTTCCACGGTCGGTCGCAGGGTTCGAAATATATGCGTTTGGAGCACTTTGGACTCGTCGAGACAATTGACATTTTGCACCAGAACGCGTTGAAATACCAATTTGGATGAACTAGGCTATTGCGATTGAAAGAAACTTTCCCAAGCGGATGGAGCCTGACACCTCTCAAATGGATCATTTTGTGTTCACATTGCCGAGTGCACGCGGATGAGCCTTACATCTACGTTGATATGTTCTCAATGCTGTTGCTTCGACGCAAAGCTGTTGAAAATTTGTTCCAGTGTGGTTTGAGACACCGTGTATTCTTGCACGTGAAGCTTCTCCTTTATGGCTTCAATACTGGTAAACACCGATGCCAGCGCGGGTGCTCCGCGGAGTTTGAATCGCGCCATATCTTGCTGGCGTTCCAGGACTTGAATGTCGACGCCAAAAGTAGCGCGGAGTTGGGCCTCAAGTGCGTCAAAATGGGATTCGGCAAGCCACCATGCACAGAAGTCTGGAGCGAGCACCGCATTCGGAGGTTGCTTCAGTGCTTCCGCCAACACGTACCCCGTGGGGTGCGACGCTGTAACGAGATCCGCACGACCTGGAAGACCCAAGGCTTCGCATCGTTCCATGACTTGAGCCGCCGCCAACGTCCTGGTCGCGTCACCACAAAACTCACGCTCGACCATGAGGTCGATGTCTTCGGGTGCCACAGACGCCAACTTGACATGCAGCACTAGTCCGTCGCCAAATTTGTGCTTTAGGTGCTGAATACTGCCGAGACATCGCAATCGTCCATCCACCATAATACCGACACGCGTACACAAGGCTTCGCACTCTTCCATGCTGTGGGTGGTTAACACAATCGTGGACGCGCGTCGCTTCGTCGAGACGTTGGCAATGACGTTCCACATGAACCGGCGCGACACGGGGTCCATACCTGTGGAAGGTTCGTCCAAGAAAATGATGGGTGGTGCGCCGATCATTGCGATCGCAACAGATAGCTTGCGCTTGGTCCCACCACTCAACGCGTTGGCGAGCTTGTGCTCAAAGTCGTCCAAGTTGAGGTTCGACATGGCCGACAAAACTTCGCGCTCGAGTTCGGCACCTTGTAGTCCCTTGATCGCCGCAAAGAGTTCCAAGTGTTCCCGAACTGTGAGCAAGTCCAAGAGGGCGTCGAACTGAGGGCAGTACCCAATGAGTCGTCGAGCGTCGAGCTGCTGCGACAAAACGTCATATCCGCCCAGCGTTCCGCGTCCGCTGGTCGGAGCGATGTTTCCAGTAAGCATTTGCATCGTCGTCGTCTTTCCTGCTCCGTTAATGCCGAGGTACCCAAAGCACTCGCCTATTGGCAACCCCAGAGACAGCTTGTCGACAGCAACAACTTTGCCCCCGTACACTTTGCGCAAGTTGTTGAGCACAATTGCGTCGTCGTTGGCATTGCCCATGGTGACACGCCTCGCTTCAGCTGCAACATCGCCGTCGATATCGGGCACCGCACCAGAATCGTTGTCTGGCGATACCCCTTGGCCGCGCAACAACGCTACCAGCGAGGGAAACGTCCGGAGGTAGTCGATCGCGACGGCCAGCACAAAGTATATGACGCCCTCGACTGCCAAATATGTGAGATCGATCCCGATCACATCGTACGAAAACGCGTCCGGGATTGGGACGAACATGGAAAAGATGGAGGCGGTCAAGGCACCGTTCAACACCGCTTGCATACACAGCTTCAGTAGACTGTTGCCGAGGTTGAAGAGCGGGGACAACCGCCAAACGTACTTGAGGTACGACCCGTTCAGCTCCATCATAGACGGGATCGAGTCCAATATCATCGACGTGATGACGATGGCAAGACCAAGAAGCATGTTAAGGAACACCGATGCCGTGTGCGCGGACGACGGCTCCGTAAAGAGGTGGGACAGTAGGTAGCAATACGGGACCATGGCCGCGCCAAACGCGACAAAAAGCGCGATCACGGCCTCAAACACGTGTGGCGAGCACGATGTGCAGGCAGATCCGCCCGTTAGTTCGTGAATATCGCTCGTGTAGATCAAGACCAATGCAGCAGTGCTCGGGATGGCAATCAAGATCACGTCGAACACGTAGTTTGCGAACCAAAACGCGGTCAGCGACGCCCCCGACACGAGCTGCTGGTGCTTGGAATTGTGCGCTGGATGCTTTTCGTGCACCAAGCCAGGAACAATCGCCGGACTGTATTGGGCAAACGCGACAACAATGAAGATCGCTGCCAAGAACGACGCCGCGACCGACACACCGACTTGATCCGTGTGAGTCGGCGGAAACGGCGCCACCGCCACATTCAGCGAATGCCCACCACTCACGCGCGAGTACACCGCACTGTCTGCCATGGCTTTGTAGATGGCTGAGGCATAGATGTTGGTCGTGTTGACTGCCACGTTGTACCCAAAAAGACCACTCGAACGCTTGCCTAGAAACACATACGCTCCGTACGCGCCAACTGGCGACGACTCCCACAGAGCTTCGCCAAGGCGAAGACAAAAGCCGGTGGGACCACTTGGGTCAATGCGGTCGTACGTGACGTTGAACACGGTAGGAGACGTCGAAGGGTACACGGGCGGCGGCGGGATGAACGACAAGTTGTACCCAACAGCATGTGGAAGCTGATTGACCAAGTCGCAGAACCAGTCTGACTCACATAGACCACCAACCGGAGTTTGGGAAGCCAAGGGAAACGACGCGGTTGTGAGGGGCACGGCAGGTGGCGTGGACGGTCGAAAAGTCGGGGCAAGGCTACGAATACCAAAAAAGATGTATGCGATTGGCGCGAGGATTCCAAAGAGCACGACGCGGCGATCACGACGGGCAATTCGAAATCGCTTGACCAAGAGCGCTCGGAATTGAGTCCAGAACATGCCTTGTCGTGAAGGCGATGCCGATGTCGATGGCGTCAGCGACTGCGTTTCTCCAAAGGTCTCAGGATGGCCGTTTGCAGCAGCCGACAATGACGACGGCACGGTGTGCTGGTGATGGACGTCTCCAACTTCTGCCACTTTTAAAAAGACTTCCTCGAGTGTCGTCACCGAAATCCCGTACGACAACACTCGCAACGTCGCCAAGTGCTTGTCCAGTGCTTGAAACAAATCGCCAAACACGTGGGACTCATCCAAGGGCAGCTGGAACGCCATCTCACTTCCAACGTCGCTGAGAACTTTGGCCCGATCGACAAAGGACGTGATCAATGCCTTGATCGCACTCGTCCTGTTGGCGTTGTCACCGTCGCTCTGGGAAGTGTCTCTGACAAGTGACAACGTGTACCCAGCACCGTAACGATTCTTGAGAAATAGCGACGAGCCCGCGCATCGTAGCTCTCCCTCCGCCATGATGGCAATCCGATCGCCAAGGACATCGGCTTCGTCCATGAAGTGCGTAGTCAGCACCACGATGCGGTTGGGTCGGTTGTTCAAGATGACGTCCCACATGCTTCGACGGCTGTACGGGTCCATGCCAGACGTGGGCTCGTCTAGAAACACGAGCGTGCTGTTCCCCAACAGAGCAATCGCCAGCGACAGCTTGCGCTTCATCCCGCCGGACAATTCTGTCGTCAACGCATCTCTCTTGCTCGTAAGTCCCACTTCGTGGAGCTTCTTCGTCACCTCTTCGTTCAAGTCGGCGACGTTGGTGAACCCTTTGATGCGCCCGTAGAACCTCAAGTGTTCCGCAACGGTGAGCTCGTTGTACAGAATGTTGTGCTGAGGGCACATCCCCACGGACGCGCGGATGGCGTTCAAGTCCGTGGTGAGGTGCAGCCCGTGAACAGTGGCGTCGCCGGATGTCGGCGGAATCATGCCCGTAAGCATGTGGATGAGCGTTGTTTTGCCAGCGCCGTTGTGGCCCAACAAGCACGTGATTTGATTCTTGTACAACGTCAAGTTGAGGCCATCGACGGCAACTTTGGGTCCACTGGGGGTTGAAAATACCTTGCGTAAGCGGTGAATCTGCAGCGCATCTCCCGATGCTTCTTGTCGCCGAAGGTCTGCGCCGACCGGCTCAATGGTGTCGCTGTAGCCAGACTCAACCTCCATCCCTCTCAACAATGCCTCGGTCTCGGCACCGCCGCCTTGTTGTTGCGCTGACCAGTTGAAACCCCAATAGCTCGGTCGGAAAAGAAAGTACCACGGTTCGACAACGCCGACGTCTTTCGGCACGACCTTTTCGAAATAACATCCCAGCAAGATATACCCGACGCATTGGCCGACCATGAAAAGCAAGACAGAGCCAAAGCAAAAGTTGTCGACCGGTTGCCACAGATTTGACAGCGGGATGCCGACGGCGGACGCTTCGGCAGCAGCCAGCATGGTCACCGCCAAGTTCATGGCACCGGCAGGTACAATGCATGCAAGCGCCTTTTGAGCCGGCGTCGACGTTGCGGCCACGAGCTGGGACGTGAGAGAGAACGACAAAAAGTATGCAAATGTGCCGACTTGAATCGCCAGCCGCGATTTCGAAAAGATGGCACTGATGGCGTACCCGAACGACGCAACGGTTGACCCAGTCAAGAGAAAAAAAACAAACAATACGATCACACTTGAGCTTGGGAAGAGCACCGTGGCGGCCGCAACGGCGCTGACGGTCGCCGACACACATGACATAAGGCCGAACGTGAACAGCCAACTCGCGACAATGGCCAAATCTGGCACGCCAAGGATCTTGAGGAGCTCTCGTGCCTTGGACTCTTTCTCACCGACCAAGCCAACCAGGACCGCCGCCAGCATCTGCATGTACGCAAACAGAAACAGCAGCCCGAGCAGCATCTGGACAGTCTCGTAAAATGGGGACCAAGTGTACCCATGGATGGGCAGCGGAAACGTCGATGCGCCGCCAAGCGCGTGCGGGGCATGGTACAGCGGCACGAGCAACGACGAACGGGATGTCGGAGGAACATGAGCGATGTCAAAGTCTCCGACGTGCAGACCCTTCGAGTAGGCAGTCGCGACTTTTGCCAGCATCGGGTCGATCTCGATTTGGTGGAACAAGAGTTCGTCCGTCTCGTTGGACGGCGCTCCCCGCGGTAGCAACGTGCACTTGCTGGTGACGGGATGCGGCATACACGCAGCAAACCGCGCCACCAGTGTCTGAAGCGTTTGAAACCCGGAAGTCGCGTATTCCTTGATTGAGGTCATGTCAATGGAGCGCTGGAATGGCCTGATACCTTGGTCGGTCGTCTTTGGTGTAGCCCTTGCGTCCATGCGAATGGCATAGTTGATGTCCCCTGCATCCCCAGCCTCGGCGGGGGTGGCCGAGAAGACGATGGCGGCAAAGATGCGAGGTTTGGCGACGCCCGTGCCGTAGGAAGCGTCCATGATGTACGCTTCCAAAGCTGAATCGTCCGCGAAGAACACGATCGAGTCATGAAACGACGGTACGACGAAGGATGCATCGACCGTCAACTGCACGCGGGGGTACCACGCAGCCAAGTTGCGAGCAAAGTACTCCCGGGTAAACGCCGTGTCCGGGACGATTGCGAGTTTCGACGGCACGATGAAATCACGGCATATCTGTGGCCATGCAAACGGCGACGACGCGTCACCACTGACGTTTCCCGCAAACGCAGCACGAAGGCATGTCGCGTTGGCGGTGTCCGACATGTTCGCTGCATGCATTCTGTCCGACCATCCCTTGGTGCTCAGAGTCAAAAGAAGCGCCGATGCCGTGGATTCCGATGTGTAGTACGTCGGTGACGATTGTCCATGGCGCTCGAACAAACTGTGTCGCGCTTGATCGTTGTCGTCATCCGTGGCCCATCCATCCGGGACGTGAATCGTTGCACTGTACTGTTTCATATGCCCCAAGAAGACGATCACAACCATGGGAAACAACACGGCAAAGAGGATGCGTCGCGGACTCTTCTTCAGCATCAGCGCGTTCTTCCACATCAAGATCGAAACGAAGCCGCGCGGCGGCGTCGACGTCCGCGGCCTTTGCATTTTGATCGCCAAATTCGATTGTGTGCCATTTCAACGTGCCCGTCGACGACATTCACTCTGCGAAAACGTAGGTCTCTTGAGCGATCCAGGAGTGTTGGGACCCGCATTCCGGTACTCTCCACAGAACGCACGAAATCACACGGCGGCGCAAGGCGACGGAGGGCGGATGGAGTGCGCGCGCTGCTTTCGATCATGCGTGCTTGTGAGCTTGCATGTGGCACAACGGCAGGCACGAATCGCCGTGTAGGCGAAGGCGCGGTATCATGACATGTTTTTTCTTCAATAGTTAGACAGGGTAGAGTTGGCCAGAATGAGCAATGCGAACGACTTGAAGCGGCTGCCCCGACTCGGTCGCGACCGTGTCATGGAGTTTCGCCAATGTCTCAAAGCTGGATTCGCCCAAGAGGGCCCCAAATACGACGTGTTTGTTGTCGAGCCACGGCGCCTGCGAGACGAGCAAGAGTTCGTACAAGATGGGCATGCAAGCCTTACCGACGTGAAGCATATGTAGAACTGGGACCCATTCGTATCAGGTCCGGCGTTGACCATGCCGACAGTGCCCATACCAACATGCTGCACATCGAGGTCTCAAGTGTCATGTGGAAGAACGCGGGAATGTGTACCCGCAGGATGAAGTTTTCATCTTCAAAGGTGGGCGTTGAAAACGCGCACGACCCACCTTCGCCGTCGATGTCTCCTGCTTGTAGGAGTGAATCCCGCACGACTCTGTGGACCAAACTAGTCGAGAATCCTGTCTGTGAATATCCCAGCGCAGGGTACGCACCAGCCGCTGTATCGCTTCGGGGTGCCCATGGCGTCGAAGGCACCGCCTGCAGGAACGCCACGTGTGCTTTTTCCATCCGGCATATCCAACGACACACCTGTGCAAAGCACTCGAAAGTTCTCGGCAGTGAGAGGCACGACATCCGCACGGAGCTACCCATCGCACAACGTCATGTTGGCCACCATCGAACCGCGACGACGCGCCACCATCATACCTCGATGGTAAGTCGACCAAATGGCTTGGCTCCAACATGAACATCCAGGAACACAATCGGATTATCCCGACGACTGGCACGACCTTCGCCCAAAGGCATGCCGACGGCTGAAAGCGATCCAGCCGTTACGAGGAAACCGTGGAGACTTCCACATCGAGCTGCAAAGGATCCATGGGGATCACGACGACATGACCGTGGAAGGTCGCTTTCAAGTTATGGGACGATTCCTCCATGGAAATCGCCAACTTCTACATCTACCATCCGAAGGACGGGTCGAGGAGGTATCGGTTTGCAGTTAAAAAGAATATTTGCATCTTCACCGTGAATCTCAGGGGATTGACAGATATAAGTTCTCGTCATCTACACTCCTCGACGCCAGTGGCGCGTACTTTGAACGACCATCCACATGCAAATCACTGCTACTGCTACACGTCGGCTTCAATTGCGGTGAAAGGTCAGAGAGGTAAAGCGATTCTCGTTGTACAATCAAGCTCCTTGCGGAGTCAGTTGACCGTCGTGAAACGTTGAGTCGGTTCATCATCCTGTTCACGCATGCCGCAGAGGCATTCTCTGGACGTCCTGTCTGCTCTACTTCGCCAATTTCAAAATGAGCCACAGGATGAGTGGTTCGGGACACGACCTTTTAAAGTGCGGGCCCTGAGAAGTTCGATTGTCGCGCCAGCGTCGTTCGACCACGAATTCCAATAAAGTGCGCTTGGTGCCATGCAAAGGTGTTGATGTTTTATTGTTCAACCTCTTGATTTTATCGGTTTAACCACACGCTATTTCTGTGAAACCCCTTTGCATCGTCAACTGCATTTAGTGTGGACTGGAAATAGTGTGGTATAGGACCACACTAAATGAGTTTTGCTGTGTCCACTACACACAAGCAGGAAAAACGTCCACAATAATGCCCAAATTCGACCGGCAATTTGTACGGATAATGTATTCATTCAAGCTTCAGATATCGGTGTGCCTCTGGACCCCACTGATGGACCCAACCAGACTGCGTGGATTCATTTCAACGACTCGAGTATGAATTCACCAATGCAACATCGTAGCCTATGTTGGGTTTGTCCAGATCGATCGAAATTTCGGAATGTGTCCATTTCATGGTGAAATGAATGTATGTACGTACTAATAGTAAACGCAGTTTTTGTCGACTTTGAGGAATTGCACCATTGTAAGTGCAGTTACACGTCGGGTTCCGAATAGTACTACTAATAGTAGATCGCAGTGCGATGTTGAAGGAATTGAAAGAAAGTTGCCGTGTATTTTTGGACCGACACGGTAGTGGTGGATGGAGTGATGGCCGACGCGGCGACCGCGAAGCCGAAGAAGAAGACGAAGCCCAAAGTACGTGTGCGCTTCATAGACGCACGGATCTGTCTTGAACGACGGGGATGGCTGACGCGGTTGTTCGAATAGCCCAACAGCATTTACATCACGGAACGCGTTCGCGTACGTTTCCGAGTTTGTCGTGTTTGGAGGTGGATTATGTCGAGTAGTATTTCAAGAAGGACGTGCCGACGGTGGACACGATTGCCGAGAAGGCCAAACTCGAGAAGAAGCTTGTGAAAGCGAGGGAACTCGGTTTGGATCCGGGTGCTCGGCACTGTTGTTTCCACGCCGAGCTCACGCATCATACATAGAAGCGAACCCGAACGCGTGGAAACTCGAGGCTCAGGCACTGACGCAACTTGGACAGCTTGAAAAGTGGAAAGGCAACGAAGACGATGGCGACATGTACTTGACTGAGTGCGCCAAGTTGTGTCGCATGCACACGTTCAACAACAAGTGCTGAGCAAGACGTATCCACACATGTATTCGATGCAATGCATGCAGTTCAATTCATCTACGTGCGGCCGGTCGACCGAATGCCATGAATCACGCGCGCCAGGTCTCGAATTTGGAGGATCTGTCGGACATGCACGGGCAAGAGTAAGAACGCATGCGACAATAACAGTCCAACCTTCTTCTCCAGCTCGTCCACGGTCTTGTTGCGCTGGGCATGCGTGTGGGCCAAGATGGGCTCGATGGCATCGCGGTGCCACTGGCGCACTACGTCAGCCACCACGCACCCAACTCAGCCTCGTCGGTTGCGGAGTCGAGCAACGTACCCATCGCGACAGTGTTTTCGCCTTCCGTGACCGCTCCCAAGCGCAATTCTCGCACTTCTTGCATGTATTTATAGAGCAGACGGTTGGTATCCCCGTCGGCCACTTTGCTCGGGTGATTTCGACGTTGTTTGCTGAGCTTCCATGCCGCTGCGATCAAGTTTACCGACGCGTCCAGGCGACGGCGCTGCCATCGCTTGTAGCGCACGACATGGAGAACCTTTTCTTCGCCGCGGGTGGTTTGGAGCGACCCCATGAAGAGCGACGTCAACATCGATATCACCTGTGTTTACATCCGTCATAACGAGCAATAGAATCGACTGACGTACAATCACACCGCCGACAATGCCGCCCAACACCGTTATCACGCGCCCGGCCACGGTTCGCGGGACAAAGTCTCCATATCTGACGACACAATCCATTCATAAGAGTGCATCTTGTCTCGAATCCCCCGAAACATGCACGTACCCGACAGTCGCCATGGTAACAATGACCATCCACATCGCCGTCAGCTCGCTATCCAAGGGGGACGGCAACGGCCGCTCCATAACAGATACGCCCACTGCTGTTGCGACCCACGTCAAAATGGTGCACGTCAAGAATGCAAACACTAGTCGTTTTGCACCAAAGCAGGGTGAGAAGTCAGCGCGTTATTCATGCCGACAACTGCAAAGGAATCACAGCCGTGGATCCATGGATCACGTGCCAACCAAGCCAAACCACGTGAGTGTCGCGCGAGGTAACGCGCAGGGTTTCGTGCAATGCAGAGAAAGGTACCTGGGTGATGGTAAAAGATCGCGCGGAAATGCCACAGCGGCGAGTCCGTGCTCACGTTGTTGAGAGATCCGATAAAGTCGACGCGCTGGCCATAAAACCCGGAATGGTTGCGGACGAGCCGGACGATCCAATAAAGCCGCAGAAACATGACCATGCCGAGGGTTTCGTACGGGTATTCCAGCACAAGGTAGCACTTGTCGCTTCCTTGCCGAACCAACTAGACGCACACCCAACGCCGCCGATACGTCGAGGACCTGTGGATGCAGGCAATGCGCCAACTTACCGGTGTCGGACACGTCGTTGCATGCATTTGGTACTCGTTGACAACAAAAACACCCGTCACAAGCGGCGGTACAATCGCCAAGTTAGCCACGAGTTCTACCAAGAGCTGCAAACGAATGCTCGGGTGGCGCCACATGGTTGTGCTTGGCGACAGTTTGTTGCGCAGTTTGAGAATATCAACCGTGAGACGGAAGCGTCGGTGTAGTTCGAACACGAGAAGCAGTGTCGAAATGAAGATGAGAAGCGCGTAGGTTTGGCCGGGGGTCGACACCTTGGCATGGTGATGAGATCAAGAGCGCGAAAAATGGATGTAGTACCATGTTGGACGGGTACGTGGCCATGGCAAACTCGACTCGTACTAAAGTTGTATCGACAACTCAAGCAGACGAAATACTGACGCAACACCGACCTTGCCAGATACACCGCAGTTGGAGCAACATGAGCACAAGGCCAAAGAGGGCAAGGCCGACGCAAATGTCGTCCGAGTGCCGCCGGAGCCAGTATTGGCGCTTGATGTCGGCGAGTCGCACCAAATCTACCATTGCATGTCCATCAGTCGAGTACAACGCAACGAGAATACCTTGCACGGCCCGCGGAGGCAACGACGAGTGATCGAGCTGGCGGCGATAGTTTTGTTCCTTGACTCCTTGCATTTGACTCGACACGACAAAACCACTGTCTTCGTTCGCGATCTGCATGAGCCATTTTCCACCGTAAGTCGCCGATTCTTTCAGTGCGCGATCGCATGATCGTACCATTCGTATGCACAAGAACACCACGTAAACTACCAAGCACACGGCCGGGAACTTGTCTTCTGCAGGCCAACTGAAATACCGTCCAAGCGTTGGCACCACGTCGGCTACAGTGAAGAACGGCATGTCATTCGCCTTGCCGAGGACGCAGCAGCCAAGCAGCATATTCCAATGAAGGCGGCACGCGCCGCGTTTAACACTGGCTGGCGTACCGTGAGCAGGTAGAGGTCCATGAAAACACAGCGCTCCACACGCGAGCGCATCCAGCTGAGTCGTGTTGACCATCGATACGACTTGAAGGGTTGCCGCCGCGACCATCTGCCCGTAGTGAAGGGGAGTGTAGTTGAGCTGCTGCACCAACGTCCACACGTCCAACGGCAGCATCAACATCTACGCCATGCAACAACGTCGATGGCAAGACATCCATGGCCACATTCAACTGTCGACGGTTCGTACAATCAAACCCATGACGATCCACTTGCACGTAAAGGCGAGGCGAAACCGAGTGTTGTGCCCAAGGCATACAACGTTCGTGGCAAGGCCAGGAATGTAAACGTGCTTGGGCGACGCCGCAGTTGGAAAGTCCCAGTCTTGCATAAGGACCTGTCTCACAGACCATTTTGAACATGCAACAGCATGTGGAAAGTCGAACCAACGTACCACGACGTCAAGCATGACCACAGCGCCACTAAAGAGCGCCCGCCACGACTCCATAAAGTAGACATCGGTCGACACGTGTTGGAAGAACCAGTCCGTCATGGCAGCATGCACGTGGGGAAGGCCAATGGCGGCGTAGGCGACGAGCCCGGTGAAGACGAGCCAGAAGCATGAAATGCGTACGTATTGGTGGCGCCACACGTGCCAGCGAAATCCATGCATCCAGTTGTCAAAGAGACTCTCGCAACGAATGTGGTCTTGCAGCATCACGTCCAACGTAGAGAACAGCAAGAGCCCATTCATGACGAGCGAGACCGCACGCACGGTCGGATACAGTTCAACATAACGAATGGGCAGTACCGACGTCACCTGGATGGGCAGGATATGACGGCTGACGAAAATCGGACAGCTCAACAATACCTCGAGATTCGCTGGCGCGAACGCGTTAAAAATGGTCGCGACGAGCGATAGGTACAGCGGAATGAGGAAGTACATGATCGTCCACGACCCTTGAGACACCGATCCAATATAGACGTCGATGGAGTACGGTCGCCCGCCGTTTGCGAATGCGTTCACTGGAGAGGAGAGCAGGAATACCATGAGACAGATGCATGGCGGAAGTGTGATGCGTGCTTGTTGTCGTACCAGTGCGGTGAGAGATGGCAGCGAGACCCCCGCTGGTCTTGATGGATTCAAGTCGCCTGAGCACACAGATGAAATCGCAATGTTGTCGGGTGTTGTTAGTACCCGAGTTCAGCATGGCCAGACGAGAACATGGAAAGATATCGACGCAAGATGGGAAAGATCATAGCTCGGGTAAAAATGCACCCCAGCACCACAGTCAAGAGCGCCAACGTTACTCGCAAGGTCTGCCACATTGAGGGAACATAGGACAGTTTAGGATGAAGCGACTGTGACGTACAACGGTTCCAATCGTGTCATCGGGCAGCATCGCTCGGCACAGAAAGTTGAATGCGGTTCCATACACAGGAATCGCCACCATTGCACGCGAATACGCGACAGGATTGACAACATGCACGACAATATTGACGCCGAGCAGAAGCACAACCGCCACGACGCGCTTCCACGGATGGCGGATAGACAAGCCAGTGCCCGACTCTTGTCGCTCCACGTACGTGCTTTTCGCACGCGTCTTCACGACCCACGGACTCGTGCTCCACCACCACGCCATGTTGTCCTTTCCTGTCGGCGCAACCGCTCGTGGAACAAAAAGTGCAATGAATTGCCAAATTTCAATTTTGCATACAGTTAGACAGTTTAATAAAATAAAATTACACAAGCAAAAGGGCAATTGCCATCGGCGGATTGTGTGTTACCAACATTCTCGACCTCCCCCATGAAACCGCCATCAAGGACAGGTCCGCGCATGGCGGATCCGACGTCCGACGTCGCGCACGAAGACGTGGCTGCGGCCCAGTCAGCGGACGCTCTCTTTGTCCTGCAGATCATCATCGATACAGTGCATCTGCATCGCCACTGCGTCGACGCGGACGACCTGGCGTGGGTACGCCTCGGGTTCCAATTGCTGTCGTTCAATGTTGTTGTGTTGGACGCGGAAATCCCTCTCACGATTGCAGACGGCAATGGTGACGAACTGACGGGACACGTGCGCAAAGGAAAGTCGTGCATGTTTCGCATGCAAGCCAATGCACTGATGGATGCCATGGACGCAAACCCGTTGTCGCTGATGCTCCTCGAACCACCGAAGGCAGCTGCAGGACACCTCTCACGACTTCTTGCCTTCACATGCATCGACATGCCACGGGTATGATAAATTCTTACATGAATAGTTGTTCAACCACTAACGTTTACTCCCAATCCACAGCGCGAACGATTCCATCATGATGCCGCCACGATGAGAGAATGGGTGAACCTTCAGAGCAGTTGGACCATGTACAATCATGCTGGAGATGCTGTGGGGCTGGTGCAAGGGGGGGTCGTACTCTCTCACTTGGGGACATCATTGGCTCCTCACCTGCAACATGCGCTTGGTAGGTTGTTGATCCCTTTCGACCCTCGATCGTAACTCACTTCTAGGAGCTATTCATGTGACAGATGTGTCGACTGAAAGCGTCGAAGTCGGAGGCAACCATCCACCCCCTATCTCTTCTGGAGTGGACGCAATGACAGAGCCTATGCCAAAGGAAAAAGTTGACACTGGAGTTCAATGCGAAGCCGAATCGAATCCAGTGGAGCGAGCCGAGATATCGTGTTTTGTCAAGCCAGCTTCTGTCATCATCGAGGAGGCAGTCGATGAAGACGATGACGTCTTTGCATCCCGGCGACCGCCACCGCTGTTCTTTCAAGCTGGTGCTCCATCGTCGCCCAAGGAGCTCAAGCAAGTCACGTTCACAAAGACATCGTCGTGCCTCTTGTTCAAGCGCGATTGATCGGTGCTATCCTGATGAATTCAAAATCGCGCCCACGACATTGAAATTATCCGGATGAATGCGTATCCGGATATCAACCGTCCTCGAACAGGTTGCCACGTGGTAGTTGTCATCCTTATCCGGATCGCCCGGCGCATCCTCCACAAACAGCATCTGATTGGTCGGTTTTCCGGGCACATGGATTTATCCGGACAAGGGTGTCGCGGGGCTTCCTGCGGCTCATTTTGGGATTCACCTGAAGAATGCGATCCTTCTTTGCTATTGTCGCAGCGGCCGTGACGGCCGTCGTGTCCGCGTCGGACGTGGTGACACTGACCCCCAATACCTTCAAGTCTGTGGTGGATGGATCGAAAAACGTGTTTGTGAAATTCTATGCCCCATGGTGCGGTCATTGCAAGAACTTGGAGCCGACGTGGGAAACGTTGGCAACTTCGTTCAAAAATGTGGACGACGTCGTGATCGCCAAGGTGGATGCTGATGAACACAAAGAATTGGGTTCGGAATGGGAAGTAAACGGATTCCCCACGCTCAAGTTTTGGAACAAGGGTGCCAAGTACCCTGACCCGTACAATGGCGGGCGCAGTGAAGACGAATTGATTGAATTTGTCAACAAGGCCGCGGGCACGAATGTTCGTGCCGTCAAGCCCTTCTCTCATGTCGTGGCCTTGACGGAATCTGACTTTGCGTCCATCGCTCAAGACCCCACCAAGCACGTGCTGGTGGAGTTTTACGCTCCGTGGTGCGGCCATTGCAAGTCGTTGGCGCCGACATGGGACAAGCTTGGTGCTGTATTTGCCGGTGATGACAACGTTGTTATCGCGAAGGTGGATGCGACTGCGACTGGTGAGTTGGCCAAGAAGTTTGGTGTGTCAGGCTACCCCACCATCAAGTACTTCGGCACGGGTGCGTCGGAACCGGAAGACTACGGCTTGGGCCGTGACTTGCCCGACTTTGTCAGCTTTGTTAACGAACATGCCGGTACGCACCGCACTGTGGATGGCGGTTTGTTGCCGATGGCGGGTCGTGTGGAATCGCTGGACGTGGTGATCAATGCTGCCGGTGACATCACCAAGGACACATTGAACAGCGTGGAAAAGATCGTGGAAGGCCTCGAAGGCGATGCGCTCAAGCATGGCAACTTGTACGTGAAAGCGTTGAAGAAGGTTTTGGACAAGGGCGTGGCCTTTGTGGACAAAGAAATCGCCCGCTTGGACCATTTGGCCAAGGACACGAACGTCGCCCCGTCCAAAAAGACCCAATTCCAAGTGCGCAAGAACATCCTGGAAGCTCTGAAGAAGCAATCCGCATAAACACTCAACATACAGACGTGTTATGCAATAAAAGTCTAGCTTGAGCTGTCGACGCGGCCGTCTGACGAGTTTCGTGGGCGACTGTGGATTCATCTCCATCACCGCAGAGCCATCACATCATACCTACCTTGGTACTCGGCAGACTCAGCATGGATGAAGTGGGCGCTCGTCGTCACTTAAGCCAAGTATGGCCGTCAACCCTCCGTCGTTGTGGCGCAAAAGCCCCAGAAGTGTTGATTGCGTTCAATAGAACTTGGACGTGATCTGGCTTGTCGAACCTCGTTCAAACACGATAGAGTCTGGCTTTGCACTCTTACAGGATCAGTGGGGTGAGTTGACGAACTCAATGGCCGACTTGACGCTGGCGAGAGTATGCCGGACGAAGACCTGTCACTTGCCACGGGAAAAGCATGCCTCGTCGCAAAGGATGGACCCGTTCCGCTCTCGTGCTCTATCCCACACGGCGCAAGCAAGCCATGTTACCCCGCCAGGGCCATGGTTGCACCTCGACAGCTTTAGCAACACGGTGGGGCGAGGCTTCTCGTGACCCGTGAAAAAGTCAGCATTGGGCCAAAGCCATCAACACCGATCAATGGGTATGCCTAGAGTGGAGCGTTATGGCTGTTCTGCTGGGCAGAGCAGTTGGGTCGCCCGATTGTTTGACCCACTGCAATCCACGGTGGCTGTCGAGTACCGTGGCTCTATCCACGAGGCACCTGCCCCCTCAGTCATACTGAAGTAATACAGTCTTGGATTTGCCTTACGAAGAAGGTAACTTTGCGGTCGGAAGGACGAACAATCGCGTTTTGTCAAGGTGCGCATCAATGCCCAGTTGTCTGTAACATTGAGGAGTACGAAGTGTTTGCCAAGCGCGAGGATCTCGAGCTTGGCCATGAAA